ATCCTCGTAGGCGCGTTTGTTAACGGTTTTTAGCCGGTGAGTAATGGAGTTGGACGGAGTGAAGTTCAGTGGCCAACGGGACAAGTTCGGAAGTTCGGTGAGTAACCCGTAACAAAGTGTAAAGTTCGGTGACTAATGAAACATTTAACTCCATAGTCTGGCCCTTTGCTAACACACTCGAACATAATTCTTGTTTTACCAAGCTTCTCTTTGATGGCTATTAGCGAGAAGAATATTTTTAGTATGAAAATATGATTAAAAATGAGTTTTGAAATAACGAGAATCAAACGGCTTGACAATAAATTAGTCCATATATCTAAACTCGATATAAAAATATACGATTCCACGAAGATTTTTTCGAGAACAGAATTATAAAAAAACAAGATTTAAGGTGAAAAGGCAAGAGAAACAGCAGCGCATTAGCTAATGCCACAGTCCACTGGAATGTGTGAGAGAGGGGGTGTGCTGTGGGGGTAACGGTAATCAATGGGGTAATGTTTGTGGATTCGCAACTGAAGTAAATGTGCATTTGTTGTGGTGGTTCTCTCTTTAATTGGCTTGCGGAAAAGCTAGAGAGAGAAAAATAAAGCTCATAGCTCTTATCAGGTGTTTGAAGAAACATTTCGTCAAACAATTTGTTGTCATATTGGTGTGTCCAAGGATTTCGCTTCCTCATTCAATTCTTCGTGTTCTGGTTATAATTTCATTCTTGTGCTTTTCTTGATTTTTCCTTATTGGGGTTTTACAAAAATTCATGTTAAAGATTGAATCTTCTTGAATATCCTGTCAATTCTTGTTTGGTCTTAATTTGCAATTTTTCTTTGAAGTGAAATACTAAATTCACCAGATTTCACACCTCAATCCCAAAAATCTGTTGGTAGAAGTTACCCTTTTACTCCTTCGCTGTTGTCCTTATCTAAACCTAATCTTCAAGAAAGGTCAAATCTGGGGTTTTCTTGACGTGGTCTAATTAGTTTATTTATTTAAATTAGGGTTCTTTCTGCCCAATCTCAAAACAGTGTTTGACTGTTAGCTTAAAGTAAATGACTGGCCCTTTCCTCCTTGAGAATATGGGGTTTTGATTTTTGAAAGCAAAGGCTTATTCTGGTGGAAGCTTTTTTTTTTTTGCCCCTTTTGCTTTTTGGAGATTAAGGTTTGAATGGAGTTCCCTTTTATGTGGTTTCTTGTTAGATGGACTAAACCAAAAACTCAACCCCTTTGATTGATTATTCTTTCTGAACATTTCTCACAATCATATCAGATTGATTTTGCACAGTAGAAGGAAAAAGGCTTTGATGCATTTCTCACTTTGGAAGCCATTATCTCACTGCGCTTCTCTAATCTTGGACAAAAAAAGCAGAAGAAAAGATGATTCTGATCATTCAACAGAAGAAATCAAG